GGGGGGGAGGGGGTTTACACCTGAAGGCTATCTCGCTTGTTACCCAATTCCATACGTCATATAACAAGCATAGTAAGGAGTTTTAAAATCTGCTCTCAAATTTGAGAAAAATGTTTCGTTGACTTGGAGACGGAGACTATATTGGATTTTGTTGACATGTCTTACGCACGAATACCGGATTTATTTTCTATGAAAGTAGGTTCTTTTTTTGGGGGGATGCATGTTAGCAAACATTAGATCTATAAATGTTTGAGTTGAATATTTCCTAAACTAATTAGAAAATCGTTTATGATTTTTTTTCCTGAAGTAATATTAAATTTTGCACACACAAAAAATCATGAAAATGCACACTCCACACACAAACAACAAAAATCTACATGTATTTAATAAATATAGAAAAAATTAAGAGAATTTTTTTAAGCTACATGTTCTCTTCATTCTGTGAAAGTTTCATGAAGAGAAAAACCTCGTTTTGAGAAAACGGGATATAAAAGAAAATATTATCTTTATGCAAGATATATAAAAATAAAAAATTAATTAATTAATTAAAGGCTTTAGTGGGTTCTTATGCAATGAAATACATAGTTGTAAAAAAAAAAGCTGAAGAAGCCAAAAATGCCTACATCTGATAATCCATAATTTTGACCCGAATCGGAACTTTCAGGGTGTAACACCTCCCCCCACCATAAAAAATAAGATGTTTTGGTTTTTTTAACCTTATAGAAGTCGAAGTATTTGTGATTGAAGTAAGTAGGGTAGCCTGATTTCAGAGGAAAAATAAGGGAGAAAATGATCGCCAAAGTTTGGTATCTTTGAACGCGTGAGAGTCCTTGAAAACTGAAAATTTACATTTTTTTGTACCTTTAATCATCGTTTTTCGGGATAATTTACTCAAAAATGTGTTTTTAAAAGGACATAAAAGCTGTTGAGCTTAAAAACAAAAATTTGATAGAAATTGCCAAACGGGCAGAAAAATGCCATTATCTTTGATTTCATTATTTTGACGAGAGCCTGATTTCATCACGCTGCCTCATCTATCCTTACATCGTGTTTTACTATCGTATCCATACGACGTGGGGAATTCTGTGCAACCACTTTCCAAAGAGGAAATTTACTCGTTAATCCGATTCGTACACTTTGCATAGCAGTCTTTAAAAACAATTTTTTGAGAAATACAGAAAGTTTCAAAGAGGTCTTCGAACAAGAAGTACTCTAAAATGTAAAGAATACAACATCATTGGTACAAAATGACCTCAGGGTGTACGGATAGGGTAGATATGCTGAATGGTATAAGAATACAAACATGTCGTGAATGCTAAACCATGTAATGTTACAAAGATATGAATGCTAAACGATGTAATATTCCTCAAATAAAGTTGTATAAAGCGCATAGAGAATGATGTAAAGTGCCAATACGAGTCTTTATTATTATTAT